GGGCCGGGGACCCAACGGCCTGGGGGCCTGCGACAACCCCGAGAAGTTCCAGTACGTGGAGAAGAGCCTCTCCTGCGCGCCCAGGTGCTCCCCCGGGGTGGACGTCTACTGGTCCCGGGAGGACAAGGACTTTGCCTTCATCTGGATGGCCGTCTGGTCCACCCTCTGTTTCGTCTCCACCGCCTTCACCGTCCTCACCTTCCTGCTCGACCCCCACCGCTTCCAGTACCCCGAGAGGCCCATCATCTTCCTCTCCATGTGCTACAACGTCTACTCCATGGCCTTCATCATCCGCTCGGTGGCAGGGGCCGAGAACATCGCCTGCGACCGGGAGAACGGCGAGCTCTACATCATCCAGGAGGGGCTGGAGAGCACGGGCTGCACCATCGTCTTCCTCATCCTCTACTACTTCGGCATGGCCAGCTCGCTCTGGTGGGTCATCCTCACCCTGACCTGGTTCCTGGCCGCCGGGAAGAAGTGGGGACACGAGGCCATCGAGGCCCACAGCAGCTACTTCCACATGGCCGCCTGGGGCATCCCGGCCATGAAGACCATCGTCATCCTCACCATGCGGAAGGTGGCAGGGGACGAGCTCACGGGGCTGTGCTACGTGGGGAGCATGGACGTCAGCGCCCTGACCGGCTTCGTCCTCATCCCCCTCTCCTGCTACCTGGTCATCGGCACCTCTTTCATCCTCACGGGCTTCGTCGCCCTCTTCCACATCCGGAAGATCATGAAGACGGGCGGCACCAACACGGAGAAGCTGGAGAAGCTGATGGTGAAGATCGGGGTCTTCTCTATCCTCTACACCGTCCCGGCCACCTGCGTCATTGTCTGCTACTTCTACGAGCGGCTGAACGTGGATTACTGGAACCTCAGGGCCCTGGAGCGCGGCTGCCTGCACCTCCCTGGCCGGCGTGCCGCCAACTGCTCCTTGGAGGCCTCGGTGCCCACTGTGGCCGTCTTTATGCTAAAGATTTTCATGTCGCTGGTGGTGGGCATCACCAGCGGGGTGTGGGTATGGAGCTCCAAGACGCTGCAGACCTGGCAGAGCCTGTGCAACAGAAAGCTGGGCGTGAGGACGAGGGGCAAGCCCTGCAGCGGGGTGAGCTGCGGCGGGGTGCACTGCCACTACAAAGCCCCCACGGTCATGCTGCACATGACCAAGACGGACCCGTATCTGGACAACCCGACGCACGTCTAGAGCGGGGGCTGCCCCCTCCCTGGGGACGGCCCGCCGGGGGAAGC